TTGTCTCAAGCTTCTTTGGATAAAAGACCCCACGTTTCATAGCTGGAAGTTGAGGGGAAGACCCCCATCCGGTGCCCCAGGCCTCTTCCCAACTTCATTCTCTAAAAAACCCAGGCATGGGATGCCTGGATGCCTCAGCAATGGAGCATCTGCCCTTGGCTCAGGGCGTGATCCTGGAGTCCCAGATCGAGTCGCATCGGGGTCCCTGCATGGAGCCTGCTTCTCTCTCTTTGTCTCTGCCTCTCTCTGTGTCTCATGAATAAATAAATAAAAATATTTTTTAAAGAGATTTTATTTATTTATTCAAGAGAGAGAGAGAGAGAGAGACAGAGGCAGAGTCACAGGCAGAGGGAGAAGCAGGCTCCATGCAGGGAGCCCGATGTGGGACTTGATCCTTGGTCTCCAGGATCACACCCCAGGCTGCAGGCAGCGCTAAACCACTGTGCCACCAGGGCTGCCCTAAATAAAAATCTTTTAAAAAAACAAAATCCAGGCAGACGTGCTCACCTTATGAAAGCTGATGAAAGAAACCTCCCCCCACCCCCGGGTGGCATTTTGTTTTTTATCTTCACTGAAGAATTTTTCAATGAAAATGGATTCCTTTTTCTATTTTGGAAAATCACCATGTAATAAAACATCGATGGGGCACCTGGGTGGCTCAGTCAGTTGTCTGACTCTTGATTTCAGCTCAGGTCATGATCTCAGGGTTGTGAGATAGAGCCCTGCATCAGACTCTGCACTGGGCATGGAGCCTGCTCAAGACTCCCTCCCTCTCCCTTCACTCGTCCCCCTCAAAAGAAAAAAAAAAAGAAAGAGAACGTTGACTATCTGAATAGTTGTATCAAATAGTATGCACCATAATATGATGTTAACACTACTTCAATACTCAGGTATTTTAGAGCCAAGCAAGGGAACCATGTATGATCTCTAATGACCCAGTAAAAATGGTGCAGATATTACAAGAGGGAGCTAACATTCATGTCTCCCTGGCACAAGAGTGAGGAGGATTGAAGAGACCAAGAAAAATTCGAGGGGAAATTATTTAGAAGTAATGCATTCAAAATTAAGGATGGCAAGCCTTTTGAAAGAGCTGCCCCCACCAGTGGGTGGGTTTTCTGCAAGTCAAAGCGTACAGTGCCACCTACTGGCCATGGAATTTGCCCGGCCACTGGGAAGGGTTGGTGGGGGGGACTTGGTTCAGGGGCAAAACTGCCCCAGGGATTTAAGTCTCAAACTGTTTTGCTGGTAATGGCAAATGGAGGCCTGTCCTCTTTCTCCAAAGGAAGCTCAGAGTCCCCTGAAGCTTCTTGTGCACCATAGACTCCTGGTTTCTAGACTCTCGGGGGAAGGAATGAGAAATGATGTGATCTGGGTCTTGGCTGTGAGAAGTCCAACCACTCGCTGATCTGAACCAGCGATTCTCAAAATCTGCTGCACATTCCAGTCACCTGGGGGGCTTAAGCAATCCTTTTTTAATTTAATTTTATTTTTTTATTCATCAGAGACAGAGAGAGAAGCAGAGACACAGGCAGAGGGAGAAGCAGGCTCCATGCAGGGAGCCCGAGGTGGGACTCGATTCCGGGTCTCCAGGATCACGCCCTGGGCTGCAGGCGGCCTAAACTGCTGAGCCCCCCCGGGGCTGCCCGACTTAAGCAATCCCGATGCTCAGGCTGCCCTCGGCCAAGGAGGGCTCTGTGATGGGGCCCGGGCACCAGAGTTTTAAACCCTGTCAGGTGACTCCGATGGACAGCTGAGCTCTGCTGTTGGCAGGGCCTTGCCCCCAGGGCTGACCTCAGAACCTTCAGTCTAGGGAGAGACCAGTGGAATAACATGGACACATTCCCCTCCTGCCTTAGGGCTGTGATCGGAGGATGCCTCTGTCCAGGTTGGAGGGGTCCCCGTGCGAGGGACCGCCCCTCACCTACAAATATGGCTTTTTTTGTTTGTTTGTTTGTTTTTTTTTGTTTTCAAATATGGCTTTGTTGAGCTATAACTAACACACTATAAACTGTACATATTTGAAGTGTAGACACTGACGAAGTTCGATGGGCCCGGGAAGCCCTTACCATGTGATGACCAGACTCTTCCAGACCAAGCTGGGAGAGTCCGTTTTACATTGCTGTTCTACAATCATTTAATATTCCACGCCGGGCCTTGTGCTGGGGAGAAGAAAACACTGACTCACCGTGCACCTGCTTTCCTGGGGGAAGTGGCCTCGGGATGCCCGGGACGCCCGTGGGATGTGAAGGAGGCATGTCCCTGCTGAGGAGTGCTGTGGGGGGAAGGAGAGCATTGGGGAAAGCTGGTCAGAGGGGATGATAGTTTAGTTGATCAAGACAGATGGAGGTGATTATTAGATTGGTTGAAGGAACAGGGCCTTTTTAAGAAATATATTTTATTTACTTATCTATTTGAGAGAGAGGGAGAGGGAGAGCAGGAGCAGGGAGGGCTAGGGGCAGAGGGAGAGGGAGAAACAGACTCCCTGCCTTGCAACCCCCCCCCCAATGTGGGGCTGGATCTCAGGACCCCAGGATCATGACCTGAGCCAAAGGAAGATGCTTAATCAAGTCACCCAGGCACCCCCTCCCTTTTTTAAAAAAAGATTTTAGGAAAAGGGCATTCCCAGTGCAGGGAACAGCATGAGTGGACAAATGGAGGTACGAAGAGGAGGTGTGTTTGCGGAGCAGCAGGTGTGACCAGTGTTCCTGCTGGGGGGTGGAGTGGTGCGAGGGGCGAAGCAGTCAGAGCTGGACTGGTTGGTGACAGCAGCCCGGTGACCAGGGGTGATGAGCCACAGGAGTCTGCTTCAGTTCTGTGAGCTTTATCCTCTCAGTGGAGAACCCCTAAAAGTCATAAAAGGGAGCGTGGTGATCAGACCCCCATCGCAGGAAGTTCATTCCGACCGCCCTCCAAGGTTGCAGGACAAGCAGTCTGGAAAACTTCTGCAAAGTTCCCAGTGAGCAGAAACAAATGAATTGTGGGTCATATTATGCAAGAATCGGAAGTTTGAATGTGAAAGCCATTTTCAAAAACATTACAAATATGCATATTTACAGCATTCTTCTTATTTAAACAGTAGCAATGAAAGTCTCTAAAAATGGATGATCCTCTGGTTCATGAAGCCTAGAGTTTATATGGCCCAGGACATTCGAGAAGTGGTGGAAACCGGCATGCTGTGGTGCAGCAGGCCACAAGGATGGTGGGACTCTCTAGAAGAGGTTCAAACAGCCTACTTCTAAAATGAATCCAGAATCGTCTTCAAGCGTAAAGGAGGTAACATGCAGGTAAGAGATAGTCTGTGAGGACACGTGACAAGGTTAACCAATTTTAAGTTACATCTACATTAATTCTGCTGCTGTTTGCTGATTAATGGCTAGTGTCTTTACAGGTGTTTTTCTTTTCTTTTTTAAAGATTTTATTAATTTATTCATGAGAGACACAGAGAGAGAGGCAGAGACACAAGCAGAGGGAGAAGCAGGCTCCATGCAGGGAGCCCGACGTGGGACTCGATCCCTGGTCTCCAGGATCAGGACCTGGGTCGAAGGCAGGTGCTAGACTGCTGAGCCACCCAGGCTGCCCGGTATTTTTTTTTTTTCTTTACAGGTATTAGTAGCTCAAAAGGGCGTTTCTTTTATCCCATTTACCCCCTAGCCTTGAGAAGGCAAGAGTAAACATGAATGGTGTCAGTGAGGATGCTTTCAGCTCCAAAAATAAAAATAACTACTCACAGTGGACCAACAGTAAAGTCCAATGCTTCAGGCATGGTCTGATCGGAGCTCCTGCTCCATTTTTCCATGGTTCTCTTAGCTCTGCCCTCCTCTACCTGTCAGCTCAGGAAAACCCAAGCAGTCTGAGGCCTCACATCCCTAAGCCCACTTTGCTAAGTGAACAAAGAATTTCTCTTTCTCCAAGCATCCTACTGAAATTTAGGCTTTAGGGGCACCTGGGTGGCTCAGCAGTTGAGCATCTGCCTTCAGCCCTGGTCATGATCCTGGAGTCCCGGGATGGAGTCCCACATCAGGGTCCCTGCTCGGTGGGGAGTCTGCTTCTCCCTGTGCCCCTCACCCTGCTCATGCTCTCTTTCTTTCAAGGAAATACATAAAATCTTTTAAAAATGAATAAATAAATGCAAGCTAGGCTTTATCCTAATTGCATTCATTTATGCCACGTGGTCACTGAATCAATCACTGGCAGGGGGGTTGGGGTTCCACCGATTGGGTTGGGCCAAGCAAGATCCATCCTGGGAGCTGGGGGTCAGATTGGTCCCACCCAAAATGCTTGGGGAAGCAGCAAAAATATCTATTACATGATTTAAAAATTACCCTGGATGATCTAACAGCCCCTAATGAGGTCTGCAGATATCACTCAATCTGGTTTGCCACATGTTATGTTTGCTATTGAAAGTGAGACTGGGCGGGGCACCTGGGTGGCTCAGTAGTTGAGCATCTGCTTTTCGCTCAGGTCATGATCCCAGGGTCCTGGGATGAAGTCTCACATCAGGTTCCCCACAAGGAGCCTGCTTCTCCCTCTGCCTGTCTCTGCCTCTCTCTCTGTGTCTCCCATGAATAAATATATACAATCATTAGAAAGAGAAGAAAGAAAGAAAGAAAGAAAGAAAGAAAGAAAGAAAGAAAGAAAGAAGGAAGGAAGGAAGGAAGGAAGGAAGGAAGGAAGGAAGGAAGGAGAAAGAAAGAGACTAAGGGAGTCTGGGTGACTCAACAGGTTGAGTGTCTGACTCTTGATTTCAGCTCAGGTCATGGGTTCAGGGCCGTGAGAGTGAGCCCTATATCGGGTTCCGAGCCCTACGTCAGGGCTGTGTTGGGGGTGGGGGGAGTCTGCTTGAGATTCTCTCTCTCTCCCTCTGCCTCTCCCTGCCTCTTAAAAAAAAAAAAAGGATAAATCTTTCAAATTAAAAAAAAAAATTCTTAAATAAAAAGAAAGAAAGAGACTCCCTGCTATGTGCATCACCCAAGGCCCCAAACACAAGGAAGGACACCACCTACCAAAGACACTTTATTTGTTACCTCTTATAGTTAGTTAATAGTCAAGAACAAATAATAGTAACAACAAATAAAAATAACTTGCAAGGGGAACAGACATGAGACACAAACAAGGGCCCTATTAACACAACAGAAGGCGCGTGCAGGAGGTGGCTGTGTGTGCCTGCGCCACAGGGAGAGCGGAGTCCTCCATGAGGTCGCTGGAATCTGCATCACAAGGCTGGGCATCTGGATCCAGGACCCAGGCTCCCTCTTTCACCATCCACGAAACAGGATCTGCAGCTTCAAAGTGCCTTCCAGCTCTGGCTCCTGGGGTTTGGGCTTCACACTTCCTTAGGCTCCAGCTTGTGGGCAGAACATGAATTGGAGGAAAGGTCTGTTGGCTCCTGGAGTAGGGGATCCAGGGACGAGGGTGGATGCAGCGTGCGTTCTCCTGCGCTCCTCCTCCTACCTTCCTTCGGCCTCTATTCCTCTCACTCTTGGTTTTACCGTTTTTTTCTCCCTGCCTCCACCAACCTACTGGCATTTCAAAAACTCTAGAATGTACTTCATGGTGGACAGTTCTAGTCTGGGCCTTCGAAGGCACATCAAAAAGATCCTGCGTTCCCAGTCACTTCTCCCCAAAAAGCTGAGGGACCTGTCTTTTTTTTCTGTCTCCTTGGTGTGAGGCACCCAGGGCAAGCGTGATGAAATGCCTACCCTGGACAGAAGGAGCACCCTATTTTAACTTGTTCAAGAATTAATCTGAGAACCTTACAAGATGGTATTTCTTCCCATGCCCTGGGGCCTACACAGCTGATGCGTAAGAGTCTCAGAATGAGGTCGTGGATCTGTAGGCTATCAGCTCAAAGCAACATTCTCCCAGGCGTCCACAATCTTGGGGGGCTTTCCTCTAGATTGGGAGTGGTTATTGTTGCCCTGCCAGGACCAAAAAAAAAGAAAAACAAACCACCAAATACCTAACCATTGTACTGATTGGACATAATCAACTGTCTTACAAGTGCTTATAGCATCTATGTGCATTTAATTCCGTAGGTACTTAGCAAACAAGCTGCATGCATTGCAAGTAGTCACAACTTCCATCCAGAGAGGCTGGGTGCTGGGTGGCAGATGAATACCAAAGGCCAGATCTTCCCGGCTGCTCACTTCTCCATTAGTCTTTTAAACACTCAAAAGGAAAGTTCATACATTGGGTTGAGGGCCATGGATAGGCCCCAATTTTTACCATTCTAGATGAAAAAAGAGAGAAGGGGGGGCAGGAAAAAAAACACCTCTTAGAAGCAGTGCAACAGAAATACAGGAGAAAAATTAAAGGATTACGGACATTACTTCAAATAACATTATTTGAACTATTTGAACACTGTTTTTCAGATTAGAACAGTCACTGCTCTAGGTTCTCTACCGATTATTAGCTTATTTAGTTTTCATCCTACGAGGTAGGCTTTGTTTTGTCCATTTCACAGATGAGAAAATGAACCCAGAGAGGTCAAGGAAGTCGTCAAAGATCACACAGCTAACACGAGCAACAGAAAGGGCAAGACTTCAAACCTGGGTCTGGCTCTAAATCTCGTGTTCACTCTACCTCTAAGGGTTTCTCTAGAGATTATGCTGGATGGGGATCCCCGGGTGGCTCAGTGGTTTGGCCCCTGCCTTTGGGCCAGGGTGTAATCCTGGAGTCCCAGGATCGAGTCCCACGTCAGGCTCCCTGCAGGGAGCCTGCTTCTCCCTCTGCCTGTGTCTCTGCCTCTCTGTGTCTCTCATGAATAAATAAATAAAATCTTTAAAAAAAAAAAAAGATTATGCTGGAAGTAAAGGCTCCTCCCATAAGGAGGAAGGGGGGGTTTTAAGGAGTCAGCCTGGGTGGGGCCAGCAGGCACACCCCTAGGACGCCCATGCTTGGCTGTTGCTGACCAGACCGTGTGTCTGAACCAAAGTGGTGCTTTTTTTTTTTTTTTTAAGATTTTAGATTTTATTTATTTATTCATGAGAGAGAGAGAGAGAGAGAGAGAGAGAGAGAGGCAGAGACACAGACACAGGCAGAGGGAGAAGCAGGCTCCACGCAGGGAGCCTGATGCGGGACTCGATCCCGGGTCTCCAGGATCACACCCCGGGCTGCAGGCGGCGCCAAACTGCTGCGCCACTGGGGCTGCCCAGCGTGGTGCTTCTTGTGCGAGCCCAGCCCTCGAAAGAAAACGTAATGTGCGAAAATAAGACCATGAGATTTTCCAAACAAAAAGAAGCCTGACTTCCCCGGAATATCCATAGTGCGTTACGATCCTCGGTGGGTGCTGTGCGGGCCTGGGCAGCCTGCAGGGGCGAAATGCGCACAGAGAACACTGAGCCTGTGTCCCCATCCTCAGCCCCTGCTGCCACCGTCCTGCATCCTGCTCCTCCTTCATCCTCTTTATTTTTTGACTCCTCTTGGTAGGCTTTCCCATACCCCTGCCCCTTTCCCTTCCTCCCCATTCTTCCTTCTTTTAAGAAGTCATTGATGGCCTCCCTGCTCTTCTTTTCCCTCTCTCCTCTCGGGCCCCTTGTGCCCATCATCAACTTCCTTCCTTTTAGCTCAGTCCCCTTGGCTCCCTTCCCCATCAAACCTGTTTCTTTCTTTCTTTCTTTTTTTTTTTTTTTTTTTTTTTTTTAGATTTTATTCATTTATTCATGGGAGAGAGAAAGAGAGAGAGGCTGGGACACAGGCAGAGGGAGAAGCAGGTTCCATGCTGGGAGCCTGACGTGGGACTCGATCCTGGGTCTCCAGGATTATGCCCTGGGCTGAAGGCAGGCACCAAACTGCTGAGCCACCCAGGGATGCCCCTCAAAGCTGCTTCTTAAAGATTCATTTAGTCCACACCAAGCAACGCCAGCACAATCACCCAATACAAATCTAATGAATATAGGCCATGCTCCTTGAAAGTCTTCCCAAGGGAAATAAAATAGCTGTAGCCTAATTTGCTTTATCCCCATAGAATCTGATCGGGTTATGCCTTGAGGTCTGGGGGGTGGGGTGGGGTGGGGTGGGGTGGGGAGGGGAGAGATTTGCCTTGATGTGGGCAGCCTGGAGGGAAGGGACAGAACCATGTTTACTTCTAGCACTTCTTCCCAGGCCTGACCTCGGTCCTAGGTCCTCAAACAGCCTGGGAATTGTCATCACGACGACTAGAGTCATATCCATACAAGTTCATAATGTAAAGGGAACTTAAGGGCATCTCAACTGATTTTCTTTTTATAGCTGAGGAAACAGAAGGCCAGGGAAATGAAGTGATGTGTCTAAAGTCATATAGATGGTCAGTGTTAGGGACCAAGTGGTGGGCATTCAACAATAGGAGGGAGCAAAAAACCAAAACCAAAACCAAAACAACAGGAGGGAGCATCCTCTAATCTTTCTCTTTTGATTGGAAAACAGAAACCAAAAAGGCTGCTGCCAGGATATTTCACTCCAAAGACCACTGACTCACCTAGTAGTCGGGACGGGGCATGCTTCTGTGGTTTGCGTAGGGATTCTGTGGCTGACCAGAGATATTGGCCCTGACTTTAGGGAAGATGCTCCCGTCTGCTCCTAGATTGCTGAAGCCTGTCGTCTGCTGTAGTCTCAGATTTTGAAAGTCGTTCTCAATCAAGTTCTGTTCTTCAATATACTTGTCTTTGTTCTTTGACCTATAAATGGTAGGGAGAATTGGGATCAGACGATGGCAGAAAGTTCCTCGAAGCAAACGTTGATATTCTTTTTTAAAAAATGTTTTAAAAAAATGTTTTCAAAAAAAAAATAAAAATAAAAATGTTTTCAAACTTTGAGAGAATTTCAGATTTACATATATTTGTATATTGCATATACATCATTTTGGTACAAACCAAAAATTACACAGGGTTTCATACGTCCCTCACCCAGATTCCCCAATTGTTAATGTTTTTGAACCATTAAGAATAAGTTCTTAGACCTGATGCCCCGCTACTCACGATACTTCACTACTTCGTTCATTATAGATTCCCTATATTATTTATATATGTGTATATATACTATACATACATATATATACACACTATATATATTCTAGTCTTCTAGAAGCTCTCTGTATCCATTAAAACTAGAACGTAAACACTGATCCAACATTGCCATCCAATTCCCTTGGTCTCATGCAAATTTTGCTAATAATATCACTTTTCTTAAGTGTGCTTTTGAATTACATATGGAAATAATCATAGAAGTTAAGGAGAAAAGATATGTGACACAATGATTTTTGTTTTTTAAAGACTTTTATCTATTTGACAGAGAGCACGAGGAGCACAAGCAAGAGGAGCGGCAGGCAGAGGGAGAGGGAGAAGCAGGCTCCCCACTGAGCAGGGAGCCCGGGAGGAGGCTCTATCCCAGGACCCCGGGATCATGACCTGAGCAGAAGGCAGACGCTTAACAGACTGAGCCACCCCGGCGCCCGATATAATGATTTTTAATTCAAACAAAGTCAATGTCTACAGAAGCACCTTGGTCAATAGAACCAGTTCAAGGTAGGAAGGTCTTACAAGGAGAAAAAGTATGTTGCAGGTTCTGCTGTAGCCCCTCAAGGGGCAAGCATTCAAAGCCAAAGGGAAGCACTTGGTGGTGAGGGAGGCGCCTGCCCCCGATGAACTGCACTTGCAACCCTTCCTTCTAGCCCACAGACCTGCCCCTGCAGTGCCTGCACCCCCCCTCCCCCCGCTGGAGTAGGGAGTGGAGAGGCCCATCTCTGATGCCCCCAGGGCACTCCCAGAATGAGTGGCACCTGCCGGAAATATCATCAGGGAGGACCCGTCCACCCTGTACACCTGGTGGCCAGCCCGGCCTGCAGCAGAGGTCCCGCCCTTTGAGGGCATTCCTGCCTCATTGAGGACTGGAGGCAAGGAGAAGCTTCATTCCCTTTGAAATGCGCAGGAAATTCTAATCCTTGATGTGTGTTCCCCAGAATCATGAACCTAGGCTGCACTGGGGGCAAAGGGGCTCTGCGGCACAGAGGAGCTGAGATGCATAGCAGTGGTGGGGTCACAAGTCCCCATGAGCAGCCCCGAGGATGCTGGGGACCCAAGACAGTGATGCAATCCTCCTGGGAGAGGAGGAGACAGCCTTGCTCCAGAACAGAATGTTCTGGCCCTCTTCCTAGAAAAGGGAAGCTCACATTCCAGCTCTCAGCTTTGCATCCTTATTAATTCAGGCTTTGAGTAAGAGTTAATATCAAACTGGAATAAAAGAAAAAAGAAGCAAAATCTATTTATCCGCTCACATTATAGTGCAAAAACACCTATTTTGCCAAAACATAAAGATAGGAGTGAAGGGCAGCCCTGGTGGGTCAGTGGTTTAGTGCCACCTTCAGCCCAGGGCCTGATCCTGGAGACCTGGGATTGAGTCCCACGTCAGGCTCCCTGCATGGAGCCTGCTTCCCCCTCTGCCTGTGTCTTTGCCTCTCTCTCTGTGTGTCTCTCATGAATAAATAAATAAAATCTTTTTTTAAAAAAATAGGAGTGAAATGTTACCAACAAGCAGCTTGTTTGGACCAAAGTGCATCCCCACCTGGCACGTTTCGGATAGCTTAGAGGTAACAGTGTTCCCTGTCCTTGTTGATGGAGGGAACTTTATCTAAATATTTGTTAAATAAACAGAAGGACTCCACTCAAGTTCTTAGGAAGAGTGCTTAAGCTGCACCATGGCTTGGCGGAGAGAACAAGCCACGGGGCTCAGCTGACGCTGGTGCTGGGCCCACTGCCGCGGGCTCCTGGGCCGGCAGGGCCTTGTCCAGTGACCCTTGACAACATCAGTGGGATGGAAAACTGCTAACAGAGTTTTTCAGTGACATCAGAAAACGATTGCTATGTCACATTACGGTGTTAAGCAAAAAGAAACCTTCACAAATATATTTTAAGGGGGGGGGCGTCTGGGTGGCTCAGTCGGTTAAGCATCTGGGTTCGGCTCAGGTCATGATCCTGGGGTCCTGGGATCCAGCCCCATGTCAGGCTCCCTGCTCAGCTTGGAGTCTGCTTCTCCTTCTCCCTCTGCCCCTCCTCCTGCTTCTGCTCTCTCTTTCTCTCAAGTAAGTAAATAATAATGAAAGAAACCCTAGAAATATGTATTTTTTTAACACAAAGGGTAGGGCACCTGAATGGCTTAGTTGGTCTGACTCTTAGTTTCAGCTTAGGTCAAGATCTCAAGGTCATGAGATCGAGCCCCAAGTCAGGCTTTGTGCTCTTGGGATTTTCTCCCTCTGCCCCTCTCCACCAACCGCCCCAGCCCCCTGCACATATTCTCTCTCTCTCACAAAAAAAAAAAAAAAAAAAAAAAAACTCCACACAAAGGATACAAAATTATGTCTATAATATCATTTAAAAGAAAAAAAATATCCGGAAAGATATATGCCAGAATGTTCATTGGCTTGGGGCGGGAAGTTTTGGGAGTGATTTTTTAATTGTGCCCCTTTACACATTTCTGTTTTCTTCGGTAATCACCTATTGCTTATAGAAGCCAAAGCAAATTAAGGTTAAGGAAAAAAGCCAGTAGTATTGGAAAAGGCTCGCCTTATGTCCCGTCTCTTGCCCCAGCATGGCTGGCTGTGGTTAGAACCCCTGGTGCTGCTGTGCCCTGAGAACGGGACATGTCCACCCCGTACCTTGTCAAGCAGATCAATGCGATCACCAGGCCGAGAATGAGGACACCGCCAATGCTGCCCACGATAGTGAGGATCAGCTGAAATTCTGTAAAGGAAAAGCCAAGGGTATGCACAGCCTCCACAAGCAGCCCCACAGTCTACTGCTCAGGTTCGTGGGCCCCCACTGGTTTACGGTGGTGAAGAAGACAGTCAGGCTCTGGTCCCCAAGCCCACCGGGGCCAGCTTGGGTGACAGGCTGGGTGGGAGGGTCGCTCAGCCCCTACAGTGCCACCCCACAACTGTGTCTGTAGAACCCAATCAGCTGAGGCTGCCTCGCCCCATGAGAGAAGGCCATAGACACAGAGGAGGCTGCGGTCGGGCAGGGCCTTCCTGGACTCCGGGGGAGCTGCCATCTCCATCAAGGGGCACGTCCCTTCCTGACTTCTGTGGCCTTTGCCCTCCACCATGCCTTGCTGATAAGGAAGGGAACTAGGCTGGAGTGAAATTTGTCACTTAACAGGGGCATAAGAGAGTCCGCGAGGGGAGAGCTCGTGGCTACCCATTCTCCTCCTCCACGTCTGCTGCACGACAACGTGGCTGTGAGGTGGCCTGTGAGTAGAGCACCCACGGCAGATCTCACACACACGGTACGGAAGGGAAAAAAGGAAAATGTCTCATGAATAACTTCTTAAATCGATTACGTGGCGAAAAACACGTGTGATATGTTAAGCAAAATAAAAATCAAAAAATTAAAATTGAAATCAAGGTCACTTATTTCTAAGAAGTTCACTTAGAATTTTTAAAACTGAAAAAAAAAAAAAAAGAAAAAAATAATTTTTAAAACTGGGGACACCTGGGTGGCTCAGTGGTTGAGCGCCTGCCTTGGGCCCAGGGTGTGATCCTGGAGACCCGGGATCGAGTCCCACATCGGGCTCCTTGCATGGAGCCTGCTTCTCCCTCTGCCTGTGTCTCTGCCTCTCTCTCTCTGTGTGTCTCTCATGAGTAAATAAATAAAATCTAAAAAAAAAAAATAAATAAAAAAGAATTTTTAAAACTGGAAATTAAATACAAAGCTCACATCACATTTCTATTGGACAGTGCTGCTCTAGAGCCCTGCCTCTTTCTGCTTCGTGACTGCCAATACAGGCCGCCTCCAGCCTTGATTCATGGGGGCATAGGCCGCGTCTGGAGAAGACCACAAAGGCCATTCGGTCTGAACCTCTCATTTTGTAGGTGTGGATGCTGAAAGCCCAGAAGGAACAAAAGACTTAACAAATCCAGCCTTGCAGCAAAATTCGGTAGAAATTGAGAGCATTTTTCATCACTAGCTTTGTGGCTGGCTGGGAGGCCAACAGTAATGTTTCCTTCATCTCGGATCACCACTCTTTAGTTCATTACGTAAAATTTAAAATATAATATCAGGGCAGCCTGGTGGCTCAGCGGTTTAGCGCCGCCTTTAGCCCAGGGCCTGATCCTGGAGACCCAGGATTAAGTCCCACGTCAGGCTCCCTGCACGGAGCCTGCTTCTCCCTCTGCCTGTGTCTCTGTCTCTCATGAATAAATAAATAAAAATCTTTTTAAAAAATAATAATAAATAAATAAAATATAATATCATCAAAAATATAAGGTTAATATTGTCCCAATCTGGTGGGGGTGGGGCTTGGGAGAGAACGAAGCACCTGGACTTGCAAACAACACATACAAGCTAGTAAATAGCTCTGGGACAGAAAGATTCCGTATTTAAATGGTTTTTAGTTTTGCTCTCCCACGACCACGAACATTTTTGGGATATACTGGTTTTATCTTTGTAGTAACAGCAAACCCGTATTTAAGCCAACGTAGACAATGAATAGAATGTTAGGATGCCCCCCTCTGGTCTGGCTGAGTCCAGAGCCTGCCCCTTGGGCTGGCTTCTGTTGTTTTCTATAACAGAGGTGCTGCTGCCCATGACCTAAGGGCAGGCATGGGATGCCAGGACCCAGAACACAAACAGCAGGCAGGTTTTTTTGCTCTTTATGAAGGGAGCCAGAGACTGGAGTCCTGGGCTGAATTGTGAATGTGTTCCATATTTCTCAGAAACTTGATAACAAAGCAAAACTTAAAAAAAAAAAAAAAAGGAAATTGTATACTCACGGTCTTCACAGTTGACTCCACCGTAGCCAAATCCACACCTAAAATACAATAATGGAAACCGTAGTACAGAGTCTCTGTGGGAAGCACGCCAGAGAGCCCACCCAACCGCCATGTCTTCCTCTCCAACTTCCTTTCTTTCTACCCGCCCCTTCTTCTCCTTCTCCTCATCCTCCTTTCTTCCTTATGCTCATGTTCTCCAGGGGAACACCCTCCATGGAGCTCTGGAGGGCTAAGTGGGGACATAATTCCAAGGGGCCCCATTTCCGACTGACTGAACACTCCATCCTCTGAGCTTCAGGAAGATGCAGCTATTCAAGCTAAGCTGAACCCCAGAGGCATGGAGCATTGTGGGGCCCCCTCAGCTGCAAGACCACGTGGCTCTGCCACTTTTTTGCTGCCCTGTGAGATTATTTACATTCTCTGCTATGGGGAAGGAATTCATTTCTGACAGTGTTGTCAGGTGACACGTATTACTTAGCACGGTTTCCAGCACACAGGGAATGTTCAACAACTATTGATGCTGCTGACGATGATACGATGGCGCTCTCACACCTACCAACTATGGCAGCATTCCGACATCCCGGCCCTAAACCCGTTCGTATGTCTATAAGTTCTATCCTTTTTTGGCTAGCTCCAGTTGTGGTAAGATTAAAAAGGAGTGATTTCTCTTACTTTTGACAGATCCCACGATCATCTTCCTTGTAGCCTGACAGGCACACGCATTCAACGTCCGTGTTGTCCTTGTTCACTAAGCATTGCCTATTGTTGTTTGCATTGCAGGTGTCAGGACACGTTGGAGCAGAAGCTTTGAAAGAGAATTTGGGAGTAATAATCAGAAACAATCCCTTCAACCCCAAAGTGATAGGTCACAGAGCACAGTGTTTAAATATTGTTTTCTCTGGGTAATGTGAGGTGCTCCCTGGCTGTGCACATGATGGGCTCCCTGGGAAGCTGCCCATGGGCAGCCTCACCAGCTCATAGCCAAGGCTTCAGTCCAGGCCAGTGTGTGTAAAGCCCAAATCCACACTCCTCAGGCTCTGGAATGTACATGCAAACAAGCAGTAGAGCTTGTATTTTGCAAATGCAAAAGGAGAGGATGTATATAGAACATTTATGAGCAAATGTAACACTCACCAAAACACAAAGGGATCTGTGGGTTAGGTCTTTCAAACCCCGGCTTGCATTTACACAGCAAACCACTGTCACACTTGTCCTGGGCATTTTCCTTTTCACAATGGAAATAATCACACAAAGATTGATCTAAGAGGCACAAAGTTAAAAAATATAGTCAGCAAAACAAAATGGATAAAGTAACTTGTGAAAGCACTCCACTCCATTATTATAACACTTGCCTTTCTATATGTTTAGGGTTTTTTTTTTTTTTTTTTGAGATTTTATTTATTCATGAGAGACACACAGAGAAAGGCAGAAACACAGGCAGAGGAGAAGCAGGCTCCTTGCAGGGAGCCTGATGTGGGACTTGATCCCCAGGCCTGGGGTGATGCCCTGAGCCAAAGGCAGACCCTCAACCACTGAGACACCCAGGTGTCCCTGTTTAGGGAATTAACAGAGGAAAATCTGGAATAATGAAATCCAACTCCCTAATTTTCCCTTCCATGACCATTTCCTTATATTAATTCGATTCAGATTAATCCAGTCCAATGTAGTGCAATTACGTTTATGGGCAAGATTTCTTTTTCACTTAGTTCTATGCTGGGTTCTATAAGGGACACAGTAGCTATATAACTTGTGGGCCCCATCTTTGTAGGGTTACATGTCTGAGCCCACAGAGAGTCACACTGATCAACTCACAGTCCAGACTTTAAGTACAATGGGAATTCAGGGGCTCCACTAGCTAAAGATAACACCATGGAGGAGACAGTAGGTAGGCTAGGACTTGAAGGATTAGGTAAGATTTGAACAGTCAAAGGAGAGGTGAAGGCTGACAAGCATGAGAAGAAGCAAAGGACTCTTGTCAGTGAGTAGTGAAATTGTCCTTGGGCAGGGGAGAGGTGGTGTGGTGAGGCGGGAGAGGTTTGAGAAGTCTTGGCCCTGCCATTTATTGGCTATGAGCCATCTGTTCAATCATTTGATTTTTGGTGGATCCAAGTTTCCTTTGTCTATAAAATGGGGCTAATAATTCTTGTTTCACACAATTGTTGTGAGAATTGAATACGTTAATGTCAATGCAAGTGCCAACTACAGGAACCTCAACCAATAATCGTGCTTTTGTTCATTCACAGGTACAGCAGAGTTTGAATACCAGGCTAAGAATGTTGACTTTCATCCTTCAAGCCTGGGGATCCATTGGTAGATTTTGAGCAGAAGCATGAAAACAGAGAAAGCAGGCTTTTAAGAGTATTAGTCTGAGACAGGCTGCAAGGCATAAGGAATAAAAAGATGAATCTGAGAATAGATTAGGGGGCAAGAGTAGGAGCAAGTGAAACAGATACGTGGTTACTTTCTTCTAAACATCCCACACCTGTAACCAACCTTCCTTCATCACCTGCCATTTGAAAATGCCTCCAACTAAAAGTCCAGGAAAGCAATTGGACAACTTTTAACACAGAAGAGGGAATCTGTCTTTGCAGAAGCTGGAGAGCAAGAAAAGGTGTTTTCCTCTCGCTTCCATTTGCTGGGTGTTTCATGCTCTGTGGCCATCTCTAGCTGGCATCATTTGGTCATTTGTTAATGTATCTAAGACCACACGCCTGATCTCAGTGTGGAGCGATGGCAGGAGGACTTGTCAAAAAAAGAGCAATTCTCTGGGTTGAGGCCAAATGGTTTCACTTAGGCCAGAGCTCAGGGCCAGGGCATTATGAAGGAGAGCCGAAGTGAGAGAACTGTACAGGAGACCCCAGTTTTATCTTGAAGAACGCACTGGTTATTTTCAACTAGCGACCACCTGAGTAGTCAGTCTCCATGCTGACAGAGACCCTCAGCTTCTTCACACTTGCTAGAAGTCTCATCGATCCAAATGACAAGACAAGGTCATGTGTTGCCTTGCTGGTATTTTCACCTTCCGAAGGTAGAGGTTCTGACTACATGAACTGCTATTCTGGACCAAATCCTGACCCCACGGAGAACCTGACTGGCAGACAGAAGTGACGGGTCCCTTGGAAGACAACCACCAAGTGACAGGCGAAACAAGAGTAGGACTTTGAGAGAGTAAACTGAAATGTTCAGAAAGGGAAAGGTGTCATTTGGTGGCATGAGACTCTGGCAGATGAAAATAGTTCAAGAACATAAGCTCTAGAAACATAATTCTAACAGTGCAACTGCTAATGATCCAATGAACTGGTTTTTTTTTTAAAAGGAAAATAAATAAATAAATAAATAAATAAATAAATAAATAAATAAATAAATAAAATAAATTAAAAAATGGGAGAGGGGATCCCTGGGTGGTTCAGCAGTTTAGCGCCTGCCTTTGGCCTGGGCATGATCCTGGAGACCCGGAATCGAGTCCCACGTCGGGCTCCCTGCATGGAGCCTGCTTCTCCGTCTGCCTGTGTCTCTGCCTCTCTCTGTCTCATGAATAAATAAATAAAATCTTTAAAGGGTCAGGTAACTTAAGAAACTGGTATGGTTTGCACAGGAAATTCCCAGATGAGATTTATAAATAAAACATGGAAAGAAGGTCCCATAATCAAAGACAGAATATTAAAAATGTGACAGAGAAAGTCTTGAGCCCCAAATGAGCTCAGGCTTGACACACACCAAACCCCAAATAACAAACAAACAAAAAAGCAACGACAAAGAGCAAACAGGTAAAATGGAAAGATGGGCAAACGAACGGAGGGCTGTGTGTGTGTGTGTGTGTGTGTGTGTGTTCTGCACTCGAGGCCCACAGAAATGCCAGACCTGGCTGCCATCACGTAAATAGGTGGCACGAGAGAAACACAACTAGTTTTCTCCAGTCTCTACAGCTGGGAGATGCTATTCAGATGGAGAAGAGTTGAATGGACATTGCTAAGAGGGCCCAGCCCAAGGAGAGGGTATAGGGCAGAGGAGCTGCCATCTTTTCCGAGAGAATGTCAGGTGTTTTATCCCAGAGCATCTACACTCAAGGAGGAGACTCAGCATGACCAAAGAGAAGGACGAGAGAGGCAGGGAGGGAAATTGTGGCACTGTGATGAATAAATGGTTGTTGTTCCAGCTAAGCTTGGGGGTGGTTTGAAACACAGCAAAAGGGAATTGTTTCAGTCATGCTGGGAGCTTGGAGGTCAGCCTAACGGGGAATCAGGGTCAGTAAGGCTTTCTGTGATCATTTGGAAGCTACAGTTTGGTATGAGGCCTCCTTGTCTCTCCCTTTTTCAGCTTTTCCTGTCCAGAGACCATTGGCCCATGACTACTGTCCAAAGAGAGAAGCAAAGTGGTCAGTGGATGACATGGGGGGCTGGTTGGAAAGGAGCAGAAGCAAGCAAGGGAGAAGAGGGAGGAAGAAAGAGTGGTTATCAGGAACTGGGCCCATCCTATGGATTCAATTGTCCCGCTTTTCCTGCCTCCTTCTCCCAGAGAACGGAAATGTTTAGAAAAAGGTCAGCCCGCAAGCAAACTTCGAATGAAAAAATTGAATGCTTACTAGAATATCCTAGAATGTTGTTTTTGTTGTTTTCAATCGCTTTTGTGATTAATTCAAGCACGGTCCCCTCATTTTCTTTTGTCGTTTCTGTGAAGATGTTTAGGACCTTTACCTCAACACCGGTACCACCAGCACGCATCTCTAGTCTCGCTGAAGGAGGGATGCTGGAAATGAAATGAACCTGTCACTTGATGAACTGAATCGAAGGATCCACAGACCTCCCAGACCCCCCAGTCTCCCAGCTCCAGTCCTGACCCACTGTCCTATATCCACAACTGGGGCCCAAGTATGGGGGCCTGGGCTTGCAGTCAGAGGGCAAATTGATATGCCCAGAGATCTCTCTCTCTTCGATGTGTGCTCAGAGGAAATCCCTAGCTATTGGGAAAAATTGTGGACAATCCTTTGTAGGAGCTAGAAGCCTGAGGCTAACCAGAAGTAGAACAGGTAACGTCTGGAACAGTAACGTGTCACTCTCTGTAGAAAATCAGGAGGAGGCCTCTTGCTGAGCTGGGAAACTTCACTTGTACTTCGAGGGACTGGGGGGTGTACATTCTTCCCTTGCAGGGAGAGCAGTCATTCACCCCAGGGAGTCTGGGTCATTTCCTGAGAGGGGGGGGGGGTCAGCAGGTGGCCACGTGGGACACTGTAACAGGGAGGGCGGGGCTGCAGGAGCCTGAGCTGAGCATGTCACATTCCCAGACACTGAGCGCCTGCGATGGGCAAGACATTGTAGGAGTCTCCCTCTCTACTGGGCACTGCAGTTTGAAGCCCCAAGAATCGCTGTGCCAAGTTCAATCCAAGAGGATTAGAACTGTCCAAGAGGAATCGGGTGATACGACCCCTAAAAGAGACAGGGTTGGGGGTGGAGGTGAGAAGAAGGACTTTCAAAAACTCCTCTCTTCAACAACCGGTGGCTGTATGTTTTTTAGGACTCATGATCTATTTTTCCTGGTTTTTTTTTTTTTTCCTAGATTCAATTTTGACTTTGGAATAAATATCAGAAACTTGAAAACAGCCAACCTACTTAGATGTTTACAACCAGGATAGTTCTTCAGAACAATTGAGGAAAAAAATCCAATATTGGAACCAAATTCTGTTTTTAGGACCAGTCACCACACAAGGGATCCGCCCCCACCACCAAAAAAAAAAAAAAAAATTGGCTTCAGATTCTAATTTAAAACTTCCTCCAATGATTCATTCACCATAGGATTTAGAGGTGGCCGTGGAAAGTACATGGCAGTGAGAAAGGAGTGTTTGATACAAGTCATTCTTTACCGGTGGAAAAATGACCAGAAATCTGTGGCACCATTTTGCAGTGGGGCTAGGAAAGAAATGCCATCCACTGTTCATTCATTCAAAGAACCTACAGGTGTACGCTCCAATTTAGGGGGCAAGATATTATAATAAAGGGAAACAACGAGGGCAGCCCGGGTGGCTCAGCGGTTTAGCACCGCCTTCGGCCCAGGGCCTGATCCTGGAGTCCTGGGATCGAGTCCCATGTCCGGCTCCCTGCATGGAGCCTGCTTCTCCCTCTGCCTGTGTCTCTGCCTCTCTCTCTCCCTCTCTGTGTCTCGAATGAATAAATAATAAAAATATTTTTTTAAAAAAGGGAAACAATGGAACCACTGTATATCTAATGACAAAACGGCTTAGCATAAAGGATCAGAGCAGTAGGCTTGGCGCTAAGAGGCCTGAAATCCAGACCCAAGATTGTCACCATCTTTCCTGGCCCAGGGCTAGTCACAGCCTCCCTGAGCCTGAGCCTCCTCCTCTGTCCAAAGAGAGATTTGAGAAATTCTGAGGATCCTTCCAATTCCAACATCGGTACAGTAGAGAAGGAGCTCAGGGAGCAGAGCAGAGAGCATTGGGCCAGAGCCTAAGCCGTGCCTTTCTAGATGACACAGGGCCCTGGTAAGCTGGTTCCAGGTGCATAAGCTGGTTCGTCTCCAGAACACTGAGCTCACAAGTAGAAGGTTGCCTCTCAATGCTCCTGGCTCCCTTTCAGTAAGTCCTTAAAAAGGAAACCTACGCCACAGTGTCCAGGAACCCTCCCCACCAAACGGTCCCATGGGACCAACTCTCCATCACACTTGCAGGGGTCCCTGTTCGGGAAGGGGCATAGCCAGGAACTGCCGCGTGTTGAAACCGAGTATGTGCCAGTCACTCCATACAGGTTGTTTTTCAAATGGTACCCACTTACTCCTCCGGAGGTTCCAGGAAAGTCAATCAGATTATCCCAGTTATGCAGATGATTTCACAAAACTTTAGGGACATTAAAACACCTGCCCAAGCTCAAAGCTCACCACCTTTAGGAGATCTCCTCTGAATTCACAGGTATTAAGTATGTATACCGTAGCTTATTCCACAAAGGGCTTGACAAAGCTCATCAAGATAGAGGCAAAGTAAAACCATAAAACAGAGCTACATTAGGGCTGCTTTTTCTGTACAACTCCACTATCTTAGAACATTCTTTCCCCGGCCTGCAGCACAAGTGTATTCACAGGCTTCAGAGGAGGCCAAGCCCGAATCACTAACTTCTTGAGAATCCTCTGCCTCTTTGGCTCCCCTGTGGCATCCAACGCTGGCCACTGTGTATTGATAGGCTCATTAATTGTTCGTTCTTCCAGCAGCAAGAGCTCACTCCTGACCTTTTGGTGGCCAGGTATGTGATTGGGATATTCTCTCCCTCACTTCCCCACCCCCATGAGAAGAGCTGACCTGACCGTGAGCCGTTCAATCCTCTTCCTGGCCCCTGGAATGCACATTCTAGAGGTTGACCAGCTGTGGTTTGTAGCCAAGGAACAAAACCAAGCAAACAGGTCCCAGGTGATAGATACGCTGGGCCAGAGGTACAGGTTGCCAAGGAGCCAATCACAGACAGCATCTTGCCACCCCAAGCTACAGCCGGCCCATGCAGCCGGGGTCAGAGTGCCCGTGCCCGGGGAGCAGAGCCCTGTGCGTGCTCAGACTGACCGCCTCTTCTTAGGACCTGCCACTGGAGGGCATCAGTGCCGCGCAGAGAACTCGAGAGGATACCGCGGTGAGGGAACCCACACCTGCCTCCAAAGTATCCCATGGGTCCCTGCAAACTTACCTTACTCCATCAATTACGGTCTGTCCATAATCAGAATTGTGAAATGCGGCCCCAAACTGTGGAGAAGGAAACCAGATTTAATAACAAACAGAAAGAGGGGAGAAACGTGATACTAGAAGCTTTCACACCAACACATTTCTAACCTCATCTGTATAAATATCATGTGGTTCATCGCAATTTGCCCCTTACGTGTGCTCAAACACCTTCTGATAATTTTTGTTCTAAAATAATAAGATTGGGCAGCCCCGGTGGCGCAGCGGTTTAGCACCTGCCTTTGGCCCAGGGTGTGACCCCGGGGTCCTGGGATCGAGCCCCGCGTTGGGCTCCCTGCATGGAGCCTACCTCTCCCTCGGCCTGTTGTCTCTGCCCCTCCCTCCCTGTGTCTCTCATGAATACATAAATTTTAAAAAAAAACAAAATGAAGCAAAGCTATTGTTCATTTTGACATTTTTTACAGTGGGGGGGGGCAGGCAGAGGGAGAAGCAGGCTCCATGCAGGGAGCCCATGTGGGACTCGATCCCGGGACCCCAGGATCACGCCCTGGGCTGAAGGCAGGTGCTCAACCACTGAGCCACCCAGGCATCTTGGAGCAAGCTTCTGAAGGCCCTCCGCCATGCTGGGTATTACCCATTTAGGTACAGGACCATGGGGAGGCCCAGGGGTCCCAGAGGAGGGGCCTGGGTGACCGGACACCAGGGGGCTCAGGACAGCTGCAATTTACCAACCAGTAAGGGTGCCTTTCATTGTTTCAGCGACTGGGATAGCTGTACCTGCATGTGCCACCTGAATACCAGTCCTACATGCTGCCAAGAAAGTGTTAGAATGATGAATCCTTGTATAGGAAGAATGATTGGAAAATACTTACAAAATCATTAACTGCATTATAGAGCTTTTGATAGGCCAGAGAATTTTCATCTCCCAAACCAGATATTTCTGATACTTCTACTTTAACTGTCCCAGGGAATACCTTTCCTGAAATGCAAACATAATCTTTTTATAATATTTAATGTAAAGAGGGTTAGTTTCCATTTTGTTTAAAAGACAGACTATTCTTTTTTTTTTTTTTTTTTTTTTTTTGTTTTTTGTTTTTTTTTTTTTAAGACAGACTATTCTTAAAAATGCTATATACAAGGATATTTCAGGAAGTCTGGAAAGACAAAAAAAATGTGACCCCCAAATCTCACCCAACCCAACACAATCATTTTTGTTTTGGTGTATTTCTCTTAGCTCTTTTTTTCCATGGATAGTTTATATTGTTATAATTCTACGAGTCTTCTTTAAGTATTGTTATGTGATAAGCATTTTTCCAAATAATTACCTAGTCTTTTTTTTAATTACCTAGTCTTCATAACTATTAATTTGTTTGTTTTTTAAAGTAGGCTCCACTCCCAATGTGGGGCTTGAACTCAAGACCCTGAGATCAAGAGTCACATGCTCTAGTGATTGAGCCAGCCAGGCACCCTCCCCATTATTATTTTTTTTTCATAACTATTATTTTTAAAGGCTGCATAAGACCCTATGAAATATATGTTATCTTCATTGATAGTCATTTTTTGGCTTTCGTGCTATTGATTACTTACAAGGAAAGAAAGGTTTGCAGCAAACATCTTTATGCACAAAACTTTCTATATTTGGGGTCCTTTATCTTCAGTGTATCCCCAGAAATGAGATTATGAGTGCTGAGCTATGAACACCTGGTTTGGCTTCTGGAATATCTCTAATCCCTGTGATTCCTCTAGTTGCCACTGAGATAAAAGGAGATTTTTCTCTGCTCAGCTGGTCTTTGTTGCCTATAAGTAATCCTCTACCTGTATCTACTATTCTGGAGGCTACTTTTGACACTGTTCTCATTTTCTATTCCACTTTAGGTGTGAAATGCAGCTCCTCGGGGTTCATCCCTCATAACTCACCTTTTTTGCATGTGGAAGAGTTATAGTAATATCCAAACAAGCACAGGCAAAAGTAGGTATTGTTCAGGCTAACACAGGAAGAACCACCTTTACAGGGAGCTCCTTGGCAAGGATTCCTGGGGCCTGAGGGAGAGGAAAATGGGATTAAAAATGCACAGCATGACAACAGATGACACCCAGAAACATACCTTAACAACTTCCTGCCTCCCTCCTGGGCACTTTCTCTTCCTTGGTTGTGCTACTCCACGGCCCACCCTTGGAAGAGGCATAAGCTTATGGGCTGTGCTGAAATTCTGGGGCCCGGTGCTTGTCGACAGTAAAGGCAGAGGTTGGCGGGCAAGAGTCTGCTCAGAGAGACGGCAATCTTCTAGTTCCATCTTTAGCATCTCTGGATCTCAAGGATCCTCCAGAACCTTGATGTCTGGGCCTCTACCACTAGGTAGGGTTTCCCGGGATCATTCAAAAGAGAACATCCTATTTTCTAGGGAAGCATGAATGAAGAGCTGTCTTATGGGGAGGGACAGGCACGAAGTCCCTCCCCCGCCCCCGCCAAAGAAACCAGGTATTCTGTTTGGGTTAGCGTACAAGGCATACAGACATGTGAAGACAGGAAGGTCATGGTATGGGGACCCTGCAGATAAGCTCAGTGAAGATCCTCAGAGGAAGTGATGAGGGCACACTGCACCCCCGGCTTTCTGAGAGGACAACCTCAATGGATGTGACAGTTATACTGCAATGGTTTCTACGCCACTGGCTGGTGCCCTCAGACCAGGGAGGGTGCAGGTGCAGCACCTTTCCTCTCTCTAGAGAGGTGGTAGGAATGGGGAGTGGAGTTGGGTCAGAAGGAAATGAAATGGTTGTTTTGGCTGGCCCTTTTCTCCATCTCTGTCAAATGAAATGATTCTGAGCTCTGATTTCAGAAAAGATTTGAGTGACTGATCCAGAGGTGTTAATATTCTCAGGAAACTATAGGTATGGGCAGCCCGGGTGGCCCAGCAGTTTAGCGCTGTCTTCAGCCCAGGGCGTGATCCTGGAGCCCTGGGATCAAGTCCCACGTCGGGCTCCCTGCAGGGAGCCTGCTTCTCCCTCTGCCTGTGTCTTTGCCTGTGTGTCTCATGAATAAATGGATAAAATCTTAGAAAAAAAAAAAAAGGAAATTATAGGTAGAAGTTACTGATTTTTTAAAAAGCTACATACAAGGTACAATGTGTAGAGCATCTTCTCTTTTGTGATAAAAAGGATGGAGTATGCCCAAACAGACAAAAATGTATGTTTGTATTTGCACAAATTCCTCTGGAGAAAGATATGAGAAATTGGCCATAGAAATTGCCTCTGGAGAAGAAAACAGGGGTCTGGGTCCTCAGGGTTTAGGATAGGAGGAATATTTAGTTCTTACTGCATATACTTTTGTCCTGTTTAAGCTTTTTTCTTTCATAACTGTGGGCCTAATTTACTTTTATTAAAAAATAAAAAATAGGGGGCGTCTGGGTGGCTCCATCTGTTAAGCATCTGCCTTCAGCTCAGGTCATGATCCTGGAGTCCTGAGATTGAGTCCTGCATGGCATTGGGCTCCCTGCTCAACCGGGAGCCTGCTTCTCCCTCTCCCTCTCCCCCTCCCCCTGGCTTGTGCTCTCTCGCTCTCTCGCTCCCTCTCAAATAAATAAAATATTTTTAATTAATTAAATAAATAGGGGGTGCCTCAGTGGCTCCACTGGTTAAGCATCTGTCTTTGGCTCAGGTCATGATCCCAGGGTCCCAGGATCGAGTCCTACCTTGGGCTCCCTGCTCATCAAGGAGCCTGCTTTTCTCTCTCCCCCTGCCCCTCCTCTCCACTCATGCTCTCTCTCAAATAAATAAAATAAATAAAAAATAAAATAGTGCTGATGAGGATATGGAGTAATAGGAGCTCTCGTACTGGAGAGAAATACAAAGTGGTGTAGCCACTTGGGAAGACAGTTTGGCAGTTTCTTACAAAATTAAACATACTCTTACCATATGATCCAGCAAGCACACTCCTTGGTATTTACCCAAAGGAGCTGAAAACATGTCCACTCACAAACCTTCATAGAGGGGCACCTGGGTGGCTCAGGTGAACGTCTGCCTTTGGCTCAAGTTGTGATCCCGGGATTCCGGGATCGAGTCCCACATCAGACTCCTCATAGGGAGCCTGCTTCTCCATCTCTGCCTCTCTCTCTCTGTGTCTCTCATGAATAAATGAAATCTTTAAAACAAAGAGCTGCTCTAAAAAATAAGGTGTATTAAAATTTTTTTTTCAAGAGTTAAAAGAAAAAAAAAAAAAAAAAGGAAGCCTTCCTGGGATGAAAGCGAGCATTGCGCAGTATCTCATAAACAACAGTAGGGCCACCCCTCTAATAAGGCATGAGTTAATATCCTAAGTAAAATAAAAGGGGTTCCTAAAAAGCCTCAGTCTCATTGCCAGGGTGATTTGGAAAATGCTAGGGAAGAAATTGAGTCAACTCCACTCAGGATACACCAGACAAAGAACTCCTGGTAAGCTTTCTCTCTGGCAATAAAGAACAGACCTGTCAGCTGGTTCTGTGTGCCAGGAATAAGGTCACAGGATGTTACAGCTGGAAGGGATTTTGGTGGCCATTTAGTTCACTCACACCTTATGACGCTGGGGAAGTTGAAGGCAAGAGAGAAGTGATCTGCCCCCATCCCCACAGTGAGCTAGTGGTCAGGCCAAGAACATAAGGCGGCTGCCTTTCTCTGAGAGAACATCTGGAGAAGCAGAAATGGCTTAGAAAAGTTCCCTTCCCAGGCTCCACTAGAGCTGGTTGTGCAGCTGTGGCCCAGGTGGCCTAGCCTTCAGGGCGGGCCCTTCGCTCGTGAAAGCAGACTAGGAACCAGGTCTTACATACAGGCCCTGGCTTTACTTGCTTAATCATCCATTTCTTAGATCTGTCAAAGAACATGGCGGAAGCCAAAAGAAGTCAGTGTGGGGAGACATCAGCTTGCTCTTCGACCTTGGGCAAATTGCTGCCCTTCCTAGGCCTCAAGTTTCCCAGCGAATGACAGGATCTATTGAGACCCTTTGAGCCTAGATCTGAGGATTATTATAGACCAGGGGTTGGCAGACAATGACTTATGAGCCAAATCTGGCTGGTCTTCAGTTTTTGTGAATAAAGTTTTATCGGTATACAGCCAGGCTCATTCATTTGTATATTGACCTTGATGGCTTTCATGTTAAAATGGCAGAGTGAGAGTGGAGTAGTTGCAACAGAAAGAAACCCCATTGTGGCCCTCAAAACCTAACATTTTTACTAGTTTGCCTTTACTGATGAGGTTTGCTCCTGTTCTAGACCAAACTTCCGGAAATGAGGCAGTGGTTTCAATAATTTTGGCTTGAGGTCATTTGCCATCTCTTAGTACTCCCAAAACATTGGTCCTTTGGACAATGGCCCCAACCATGTCTAGGACTGTTTGAGCACTGCTGTTGTTTGGCTCTCTATCCCTCAGGCTCAAATTCTATGAATTCAAACTGTGATCAGCCACCATTGTAACTTTTTTCACTAACCTCTGTTAAGGAGCCAGGGTCGAACTGACTCCTTCCTTGGGTAGATTAGGCAAGTAGACCAGTGGGGCTGGAGAGACAGCATTTATTTGGATCTGGCCTTCTCAGGGATGCTGAAGCTATTTGTAAAAATCTCCTGGGGAGAAGGAGCATTCGTGATGCCCAAGTTCATAAAAACATTCCACACCTAGCTTGAAGTGACATAGGTGGGAAGGTAGAGAATAAGCCTGCGGGTTACCATTTAGGCTCTCTGCCAACACTACTAGCCTTTGTGACTCTGAGTTTTTAATTTCAGGGGTTTATATGCAAGGAAACCTTGGGTGTCTTTATACTCACTTCCCTCCGCCAACAGAACACACTTACCTACCCTCCTCCACAATGCCCTGAGTCTGCAAGCAAGCAGTCTTTGAGGCAAGGAATGGTTCTTACCTGGGGGGGAAGGAATGGTTGGGGTGCTGGTCTTGGACGAAGTGACACTGCTAGTAGTTGTTGAAGAATTATTCTGTGTGGTTGTTTTGACGGATGATCCGTTATTGGTCACTGGTGTTGGAGAAGTAGTAGTTGTGTTTGAGTTGCCGCTTACAGTGGAGATGGTGGTGACAGTGGTGGTTGAAACTGTACTTGATACAGAAGTCATACTTACCAATGAGGTAGAAGTAGGTGAAGTTGGTTTGGTGATAGGAGTTGATGTGGTGGTAGGAGTTGGTGTGGTGGTAGGAGTTGGTGTGGTGGTAGTTGATGTGGTGGTAGGAGTTGATGTGGTGGTAGGAGTTGATGTGGTGGTAGGAGTTGGTGTGGTGGTAGGAGTTGGTGTGGTGGTAGTTGATGTGGTGGTAGGAGTTGGTGTGGTAGGAGTTGATGTGGTGGTAGGAGTTGATGTGGTGGTAGGAGTTGGTGTGGTAGGAGTTGATGTGGTGGTAGGAGTTGATGTGGTGGTAGGAGTTGATGTGGTGGTAGGAGTTGGTGTGGTGGTAGTTGATGTGGTGGTAGGAGTTGATGTGGTGGTAGGAGTTGATGTGGTGGTAGGAGTTGGTGTGGTGGTAGGAGCTGATGTGGTGGTAGGAGTTGGTGTGGTGGTAGTTGATGTGGTGGCAGGAGTTGGTGTGGTGGTAGTTGATGTGGTGGCAGGAGTTAAGTTTGAAGCGTTTGACTGGATGGCTGGAGGAACAGAGACACCAAGTTTCAGAAGACAGAACATTCAATATATAATGGCAGTTGCTATTATTTAATACTAATTTGTACCCAATCACTCTTTCCTGAAAAGCAGAGGTGACTACATTAAAAACGAAAATACATGACCACTTCCAACACGCACACAAATCCCACAATAAATAAAATGAGAAGTTCAACAGACAAAACCGAAAAAAAAATGTTACTGAAATCTATTGCAAAAAGTTAATATGTAGGAAGATCAGTACCGAGAAGTAGCATGGTTTCTGCGTGCCTGTCCTCTGTGAGGACGATGGGAAATGACAGCAGGGGGCACTCTTATGACCTGAAAGTGGCCACCTTTTATCTTTACAGTTTAAGGCAATCGTCCTCATTTCCCATTTATATGGCAATTTAGGAAGAGTTGGAAAGGGGGTGTGTTTAAAGAATGATGAAATAAAAATACTTCATTTAAGTGTGTATTAAACTTCCTCCAAAATTTTTTTCTAGTGATGCTTACCCATTAAATAATTTTAGACACATTAATTTTTTAAAAAGTAAGATGAATAGAGGTCATCTTTGCCCTAATGGTGATCATCAGAGTTAGCTTTTTTTCAACTCTTAGGAAAACCTGGACATATGGAGTAATAAACTCTTAGCAGTCCGGTGATTAGTCCCCTAGAACACTTCATTGTCTCAAAGAACTCGGACACTGACAACTGGTTAAAAAAATATTTTTTTAAAGTTTTGGTGAGAGGGACGCCTCAGCTCAGGTCATGATCCCAGGGTGCTGGGATGGAGCCCAACCTCGGGCTCTCTGCTCAGTGGGGAGCCTCCTTCTCCCTCTCCCTCTGTCCTTACTTGTGCTTTCTCTCTGTCAAATAAATAAATAAAACCTTAAAAAAAAAAAAAAAGTTTTAGTGAGGAAGCAATTCCTACACCCTCGGATAAAACAATCAAAAAACAAAAAAACCCTGCCAATGGCCCCTCGGTCTATGAGTCCCCGTTGGCAGAATGTGGCTCTTCACCTTCAACAGGGCCTGGCTCAAATAGTCATTAAAGGTTGAAGAGAAAAAAAAAAAAAGGTTGAAGAGATAAACAATTGCTCTTCCAGGAGGAAGAAAACGCTGGTCATCTTGACCTATTTCTTCTACTCTTTTCATCAAACAAGGGCTTTCCCTGTGCCAGATGGTAACTGTGCAATGGATACGATCATCCACATTTGATAGAAGAGCCAACCAATACCCAGAGGGGTGTAGGGATTTTTCCAGAGGTAAACGTTGATTCCCTTGCGGAAGGGGGCATAAAGGCAAAAGACTCTTGATGCCAGAACCAGGGGTGAAACCTGGTCCCTGCACTGCCTTAGGGTCCAAGTGACTTGTGGGGCCCAAGCAAAGGCTACCAGGCACCAGACCCCTCGGAACCTACTGAATTGTTCTGGCCCGAGGAGCTCTGGAAGGCAAATCTCTGCTGCGCTGAACCCCACACGCGAGTCCCGAGGCCCGTCCTTCTGCTCGGTCTCTCTTCACCATGAGCAGAACCGGAGAGGAGAGGAAATCCATCCATAAAATAATCTGCCTGCTGGGCCTTGGACCCGGTGCCTTAGCTTGCTGGGTCTACTCCAAGACAGCCAGCGTGATTAAAGGAAGGAAAAATTATAAAATGTTTCTTACCTGAGATTATGGAAAGGAGAAGAGCGAGGAGGATAAGGCCTTTCATTTTCGACATCCTTGCTGGGCAACCCAAGGAGGAAATGACTTTATCTCCAACCGTCCTTAGCTTTAACTCTCTTCTGGGTACAAAGTCCAGTCGTTAACTGACGTCAACCAGCCAGAGGCAATTACTTGTTGGGGTTTGGTCCCCCTCGGGTAGGTCTCCTCCTCCTCCGAGCTTTTGAGATAAAAGAAGTGGGCCGGGCCTTAGAGAGTATTTTTCTGTTCAAAATATTCTATCCAAATTATCACAGTCCAAATAGCTGAAAACAGCCTACCCATCCCTGCGAGGTCTACGGGGTGGGGGAGGAGGGAGTAGCGAACCCCCTCATGTCCCAAATGTCCCTTTAGGAGCGGGTGACTCCTGGGAACAGCCCCGAGCTCCACGCCCTGCCCTCCGTCCCTCCCGCTGGAGCTCGCCAACCCCGGGGAGCTCGTCCATGTTCTCCCCACACTGGGGGGTGTGCAGTTTCGGGGTGGCCTCCCGGGTGGGCACTCCGAGCAACTCGGTAACCCCGTCTCCAGGCTCGCGTGGCTGGCCACGGCCGCACTCTACCTGGACGGCCCCATTAGTGCCCTCAAACACGGTAGCCTTAGGCCTAACTCCACCAAGGCGGTGGGCGACAGCTCAGGAAGCGAAGCAAAAGGAAAAGCCTGACACAGGTGACTCCTGTCCTCACTCCCGGGGCTTCTCGACTTCCCTCTGGCCCGGGAACCCCGGACTTCTCCCATTTCAGGAACCAGCCCGCCCCTCAGGCCAGGAGCTTCCTAACCCAGGCCTCCCTCCCCTCCCCTCCGAAGCCCAGCTCCCCCGGGGGTAGCCCCCCGTCTGGGGGGTGAGTCCAGCCACCCCTTGGGAAGATTAGCCCGAGTTTTACCTCAGACCTTAGTGAGGCAAAACTTTTTTTATGTTATCCCACAGAAAGTTCCTTCCTTGTTGTCTCAAAAGTCTCCATTTAGGGAATAGGATTTCAGGTTTGCTCTTATCGAGACAAGAGGCCCACTGAAATATTTTTTCCAAACAAATAAACAGCACCCCCGTGCTGATATTCTCAGCCTGAAGGATTCCTGGCACCAAAAGTTAAATCGAAGGCTCTTTTCCCTCTTTTCTTTTTTCTTTTTAAATTTGCTTTGTCGAGTTACATCAACTTTTTGTTTATTTGTGTCAATAGACGGATCCATCTAAAGTGTCAAACTCAATGAGTTTTGATAGATGTATATCCACCTATGCAGACACGGTGGTGAAACTACCACTAAAATCACGATACGGAACGTTCCTATCGCACCCAAAAGTTTCCTCTTGCCCCTTTGCAGTCCAGTCCTCCCTCCACCCCCAACCCTAGGCAACCACTGACCTGCTTTGTGTCACTAGAGACTAGTTTGCTTTTTCTAGAACTGTATATAAATGAAGTCGTACAGTACGTACTATTCTAGGTCTGGATCTCCTCCTTCACACAATTTCAAAATTCATCCATATTACTGTGGATATCCAGTCCTTTCTTTCTCCTTTCTTTTCCAACTTAACTGAGGCATAAGGAATGTAAAGGAAGCTGCACATATTTAAAGTCGCTATATGGGCGTACACCCATGAAATGATGGTCCTAATCAAGATAGCAAATATTATCATAATCCCCAAAAGTCTTGTGCCCATCCTTCCCCACAACCCCAGGCCGAGATAACCACGCATTGGCTTTCTGTCACTATAGATTAGTTTGCATTTTCTAGAATTTTATATAAATGGAATCATACAGATGTACTGGGGTTTTGGGATTTTTATTTTTTGGTCTGGCTTCTTTCACTCAGCATAACTATGTTGAGATTCATCTGTGCTGTTCTGTGTATTAATAGTTTGCACAAAAAAAAATATAGTTTGCACACACAATTTTCCACTCATTTGAAAGTATTTCCTCGGGATAAAGTCCCAGAAGTCAATTTCTCAGGCAGAGGGTCATTTTTAAATGTTATTTCTCAGTTAAAACAAAAAAACAAAATTTTTTTTATGGCTCTTAATATCTGTTGCTGAATTTCCTTTTGAAGGGAATATAGCCTTTGTAAAGCTTATGAAATCATCTGCACCCTCACCGGAATTGGGTATTAGCCATGCAAGCGTGTTTAAAGATGTAAAATGTTGTTTCAGTTTGTCTGGCTAGTAGCGTGTCTTTAAAATGAGGGGAGGGTATCTTCCCCACATTGCTTTATGAATTTTCTCTTTTACGAATAATTTGATTATGGCAACCAACAACTTATTTTGAAAAATCAGTTCTCCCAATATACTGTGAATCTGAAGACGCAGGACCCCATCGTTTACTTTGCATCCCTCCCTGCCCCCTGCCCCTCAGGCAAACTCATTGGCATTTGCCTGTTCTTTCCTTTATTCCGTAAGTGTTAACTGAGCGCCTGCTACCTGTCTGCTGGGGACAGAGGAGTGAACAAAGCAGGGAAGCCCTCATGGAGGGTGGGCAACCACCAACCCAACAAAGACCAGGTAAGCTACATTGTGAGAAAGGTCACGGAGGAAATGAACTGGGGGCCTGTGTTGTTGAAATGCTCCCATGACTTCCTGATGCTGCACTTGAAATAAAATGCACACTCCCTGTGGGATCAGTCCCCGGTTGGCCTCTCCGACGTCACCATTCCATTATCGATCTTCTGGAACTAAGCTCTGGGAGAAGTTATACGAAGGGGCTTTCCCCAGGAAGTAGTCTGACTTCTCACCTCCTGGGCTCATTGAAAGGTGCTACACGGAGGTGCCAGTAGGTGTGCAAACAAACTGTAGTTCAGGTTTCCTCATGGAGGAGTGGGTGGTGCTGGGGATTATAAACACAGCTCTTAGGGGTGCCAGTACTGGGCTCGGGTTTGCTGCTCCTTGAGAGAAAAACTGCCATCAACAGAAGGGAGTATGTTAGCACCTGTTTGGGGGTCGCAGTGGTTTCTACTTTGCACCTGTCAGCTTCCCCAGTCTAGTTATTCCTAAAATGAGAGATGATGCAATGACAGCAGTCGCCCTCGAAGTGTTTCCCAGACCAGCAGCAGCCCCATGACTTGGGAACTTTTTAGAAATGCATATTTTCAGCCCCAGCACCGACCGGACTTACTGCCTCAGCTGTCTCCCCAACCATTTTAACAAGACTCTAGGTTAACTCTGATGTGTGCTCAGGTGTGACAGCCAGGATGCCCATGGCACACAAGATGATTTTAAGTGGTCTGTGGTCACCATTGGAAAATACTGATTCACTTGGAGGGGGAAAGTAATTGCTTTTTCAAATGTGTTTCAGTCACTCTGATTACACCAGGAGA